AAATCCTAACAGACAGAGATCAGTATCACTTTGCATTGCAAGCCAAGTCCATGTAAAGGTTCTACTTGAGCCCAATTTAAATACCACAAAGAAAGTATTGAAGCCAGCCCAAGCTAAATGTCAAATGTATTTAATTAATGTACAGTTGTTTTGATTTATTTTTAAATTCTCCAGTCGAGCTTCCTTCGAGTTCAGTCTAACCAAATACATTGTTTCTCATAACAGGCGCCTCACATTCTCACTGCTGTCCCAAAGGTTTTAAAAAGCTGTTCCAACACACACACAACACACACACAACACACACACAACACACACACAACACACACACACACACACACACACACACACACACACAAACACACACACACACACACACACACACACACACACACACACACACACACACACACACACACACACACACACTTGGGGGCGGGCCCACCTGTCACTTTTTGTACATACTAATGTGATTGAAACAGCATTTTTTTTTTTTTTATCATTTTTATTATACACCATAAGGTTTAACAGTGGGGGCTTTTCACACCTGTGAATACACATCACCCCCTCCTATCGACGGATCTCACACCTACTTGGGATATCACACCTACTTGGGATCTCACACCTCGAACAAAAGGGAGGCGGGACTTAGCTCATTTGCATAATTGGGGGAGGTGTGACCTGTCACTTTTGTATGCATACTAATGAGATTGATGCGGCATGAATATAACTACTAATACACGTAAGGTGTGCCCGTTCTCGCTCGCGCCACACATACACACTCCCTCCCGGTCCTCCCGATGGCCAGTCGGTGCCTGCCGGTGAGCGTGGAAGTTTGGTCTGCCGCAAGCGGACAGCAGGATCGGGGCTGTCAGCATCAGCTTGTTATTAACGCGTTAACTTGACAGCCCTAATTAAAACTGATTCTCAATGTTATTTGCACAGATCATGTTGAAGCTGGCGGAAAGGCGGATGTCGCGTGTTATTTGGACAAAGCCCAGATCCGACGTAAGCGTGACGTATGCGGTGCTTGCTTTCTAGACCGACAAACTTTTTGGTGCTTGAAACAAACCGGATTCCGGAGCTTAGAGGCGGCTCCGCTGCGGTGTGAACAGGAAAAAACGGTTATTTTTCAAGCTCCAGCTCCGAACCGGCCCTGGAACCACGTTGGTCTGAAAAAGGCATAAGTCATTTGCATTGTTCCTAATATTAGTGTTCATCATTGTTGACATTTTCCCCTGCAATCATAAAATGAAAAATACACAAATGAAAAAGTACAAATGTACACATATTTTTTTGTATTATTCTTTGCCTTTCCAAAGCAATACATCCTAATTTACACAACACGAAAATAACTTAATTTAAAGTATTTATTTCACCTTCATTCAGAACAAATTTAAAACACGTGTCAGCCTACGTCATTAGTTGACAGCAAAACAAATGTAAGAATTGCCCTTTAAATTGGCCCAGAATGTGTAAAGACATAGATCACTTCAGCCAACATACATATGTTACAATGAATAATGCCTGATGGTTGCCTTTGGAGCATTAACAACCATAGGTTATAATGTGAAGAAATAGTGCAGAAATATGAGAGGAATTTATGCTTATGTTGAACTTCTTTCCCTTTGAATTGTTATGTTAAGACGATCAATTCAAACATGACATCAAGGATACTGACTTAGAACTATTTAAGATATAACATTATTAATTTCTTGCATTAAGGTGGTACAATGTAGGTGTATGCCAGGTGCCGTTGTGATCAATCAGGCGGTGGAGTACTCCCCAATCAAGGTAGGTATATTTTGTTAAAATAAAGACCTACACATTATTAATTTGAAGTATATAAGCTAGATAGGATGATTATAAAGGATCCTCTAACATAGTATTTTGTGACTCAACGTTTAAAGGTGCAGGGAGACACAACAAGGTAGTTATATCTCACACAGGCTCTGCCCTCTACTGGACTCTATGGGTACTACTCTCAACCATGCTATGCGACCATTCACATACTGAGTTGCATAAATGTAGCCCATATGTAGCCGGCCAATGGGGGCGAGCCTACTTGAATGCGCGCGCAGGCCCACAGTATATAAGGTGGCTACACCTCCTGACTGTCATCCTTTTTCTCTTCAGCAAGCTCCGCTGCTCTTTCTACAATATACACAGAATTCCTGAAAAAATTACTCAAATTCTAACCTTATGTACCTAAATGCCAAATGAGTTTGTATTCTTAAATTCAGTTTTCAGGATTTCTTCAACACAGCACGATGTTAAAATAGAGGGTAATTTTTTAGGGCGAAGCTATTTCAAAGTCAAGTCCGTCATTTTGTTGTTGACAAGTGCTACTTTGGTGTAGACCAATTAGTGTGTTTGTGTTTTGTTGTCCTAACTTTAACCCTTTTTAAAAGGGTGTTTTTAGTTCATAGAAGTTTATTTTTATTTTTTGGTCGCCTAACATTTCATGTTCAGTGTATGGTGTGTCCTTTCTCCATCCTCTTGTGTCATTTCTGGTTGCAAAAAAACAAGATAGTGCAGCGAAATTCACAAAACATGAATTCATAAACAAATGGTTGACATGGTGAATACATCCAACAACATCCAAATCAATATCGTATAGAAGACAGACACCAAAAAGACATTTCGGGGAAGCTGGGTTATTCGGAACATGAGAGTGCACAGGTACAGACAGAGAGAAGGAAGAAGTAAGGTGTCCCCCGACAGTCTGAGCCTATAGCAGCAAAACTAGGGGCTGAATCGAATCCGCCCTAACTATAAGCTTTATCAAAAAGGAAGGTCTTAAGCGCACTCTTAAAAACGGATAGGGTGTCTGCTGCCCGAACACAAACTGGAAACGTATCCTATTTGTTAAAATTACACTGAATGTTGGTTTCATACATATTGGTATTTATTACAATTGTACTGGCATAAACAGTGCGTTGGCCAATCATTTACTATTGTTGCAGTCCCTCTATGTGGCCACAGGATGACAGAAAAGAGTCAGTTCCACTGAGGTCAAGTCAAAAACCAACTAGTCCTCACTATGGTGAACTTCGGAATGCAACATTACATTTTAACAGATTTCTCTCCTTAGTGGTGAAGTCATTTCTAAATGTTTGTTACATTTTGATATTTGTTTTTGCTTTTCAAACAGACACCACATTTGTTCATCTTTAATACATGTTTTTAATCATAATTATTAAAATATATGTTTTTATTTATTTACAAGACTAAAAAAGTTATGACATATTTAAAAGCAATGCTTTATGTTGTAGCTTTGTCATGTTCTTTTTGACTTTTTTCTAACTTCTTCACATGATGGTTGGCAGAATTGTTGCTTGGTGTTTTGATTTCCAACATGTAGGAACATTGAGGTTACGCTTAAATCTCTGATATCCTGTGGTGATTTTTAATATATTAATTAACAGAGTTCTTTAATGAGGACCACATTCAGATTTTTTTAAACGTTGTATATTTTATTTAGTACATCAAATAAGTACATATACATAGTAAGACGTGTTCTAAATAAGTGTCAGCATTATGAAGTAGGTGAATATAAGTGACTGATCCAGTAAAAACAAAACTATACAAAAGTGTACATTTGAAAAGGAGCAGTTGTAGTTTTATACTTGCCAATCATAATATTATGGTAAAATACATATTTAATTACATTTATGATAATAAATACATCAGCTAATGTATATTCCATAGGATTGTTGTTTTTTGCAGACTTACATGAGAGAGAGGGAACTGAACTGAAATAATCTGAGTACAGGATACACCTACCATGTCAACAGTTCGGGCCATATTTTGAACATCTTTGTGTTTTATTTAATCTGCAGGTGGAGATTTGTGCTTAATCATTGTTTTTTCAATGTATTGCACATAGGCATATTTGAAATAATTCTAAACAATATAAGCACAAATTAAATGTGTATGAATAAGATTTAATTAGAGCTGAAGCAGTTGAGTAACTGATTGATTCAATTGACAGAAAATGTAGGTAATCTCCTTATCTCTGTTTTTTATCACAGTAATCCAAATATCTATGCCTTTTGAACTGTTTGTTTGATTGTACTTCTGTTATCTAACATGACTGTTAGAGTACAGTTTAAGGCGCCCTCTTCTGCTCATTTTCAGGTCTTTATTTGCATTTTGTGCGTCTACTGTGAAATGTCTCCATGCTTTAATGTTCAAAAAGCTCTTTATTTTTCTCATACTGCCTGTGCTGCAGCACCTCTTTTCACTTTTCACCCTCTGTCTGAAACCAGAGCCCAGTCTGCTCTGATTGGTTAGCTGGCCGGCTCTGTTGTGATTGGTCAACCGCTTAGAGATATCCTGCCCCTTAGCCTATCATGTGTTGAAGCGCTCGCCAATAGAAGCACAAGTATTAGATAGTGGTGGAACTATGATACAGAAGTAAACAAAGGGCTACCATCAAGGTTTTTCAGACGGTGTGGGAGAGAAACTCCCTCTGGAGGGAACACAGGGATTTTAGCCTTTGCAGACCATTTACATGCACAAACACCTATAACACACCACAGGAAAGGGAAAACCAACATTTACACGATAAAGATAATGAGCAGGGTGAGAAAAGGTTAATGAAAATCATTCAAATACTGAGGAATGCACTTTTAAAATAGCATGACTTTGCAATGTCTGAGCATTCTGGCCAGCTCCTGAAAGCACTACTGTCTCATGGTGTACTGCAGGAATATGGTGGATGTTAGGACCTGGGGGCCTTCTCTCCCTGTGCGTGTGTGTGTGTGTGTGTGTGTGTGTGTGTGTGTGTGTGTGTGTGTGTGTGTGTGTGTGTGTGTGTGTGTGTGTGTGTGTGTGTGTGTGTGTGGTTGGTAGGGTGGGGTTGATGACGCATTGAAAAAGAACTCAGATCTTTTTGCTCAACTGGTTTTGTGAACTCTGGCAGTGGGAGTGTCCTCCTGCCTGAATAGCTGCTCTCTCTCTCTCTCTCTCTCTCTCTCTCTATCTGTGCCTTCAGCTCTCTCGCCCTGTCAGCCTCTCCTGTCTCTCCACAGCATTAGCAGAAGTCACAGTAAGTACTAAAAACTGCTTCTTGTCATGATTGTTACTGTATATTTCAGTCTAAATACAGGTCTGATGTGTTTAGTGAACTGTTAGTCTTGGGTGTGCCGGTTTTATGAAGTGTGTGTTTATGTTGTTGAACCGTATTGTATTGTGTGTTTGTGCTGAAACCTGACACTGTACCGGAAGGTAAAGGCTTGTTGTGAAGCTTAGAGCTGGAAAATACAGAATAAAATAGGGGGGAAAGAATCCAGTCCTTTCAAAAATGTTGCTTTGGTGAAAACAGACAGGGAGTGGCTGTAAAATGTATTTCAATAAGTTCAGTTATTAACAAAGTAACTTGTAAAAAGCAGCTGAATCAGACTGTCAGACGGATATGAAGGAAATATTTAGATCTGTTGTTTATACAGATCTACCACAGTGAAAAATACTTCATAGCAAGTAAAAAAAATCATGCATTCAACTACTGATTTACAAATTGTAGAAGCAAAATGCACTGAAGCCTTCAAAGTAAATACACAACATACATAGTTCAGAACAGCTCCTTGCAAATTCTTATAATATATATTTTCTCACAACAAGTATTTTATTAAAAGGCAGTTAGTCGATTAAGTTGTAAATTGAAAACTATTTGGATGATAGATTGTTAATTAAGATTTATAAAATAAATATGTTCAAAGGTTTTAAAATGGGAGAATTCTCTGCTTCTCCTGGTCATTTTTAAATAAGTTATTGTAAATTATTGATTTACACCTTGGTAAACCTAATATTTGACTTCAATATTTACACAAGAACAAGGAATCAGATGTTGTTACTTTTTGCTTCACAATATTGTGATGGACAGTTTTCTGTTTTACAGAGGAAACTATTGATTAAAGAACACATAAATGAACATAATATACATTTGGGTTGTATAATCTCAAAAAACACAGGCTGCCTACAGTCTTAATTAATTTTATTTTCTGACTAAAATCTATCAACACAACGGTAAATCAGTCTAGTGCTAGGGTTATGTAACAACTCTAGCACTAGATGTTCCGTTGTGTTGATAGATGTTATGCTTTTGTATACAAATGTATCTATTTCACATAGGTAAGTTCTTGCATCACATCTTTTGTTCATACCTGATGTTTTCCATTTTTTTTTGGAACAGACGACAAAATGAATCTTGCGAAAAGACTGATCGGAGGCATCATTGATGTTGTAAGGTGAGCACAAACTGTTTTCAAGAAGGCCTACATCTAAGTGCTAAGCTAGGCTAACCATGTTCTGGGCCTATCGCTGTATCGATCGATCGATCGTATCGATCGATCTTCTAACAGCAGTTCTCTTTCTCATGTCTTTATTCTTTCTCCGACAGCAACATCGATCCGGCTCAGTTTGTGCCATCATCACCTGTAAGTACAGACGCTAGGAAATATTGGGTTTAAAACCTGATGAATCAGCAAAAGCTCCTTCTCAAGCTAACACATCCTATTTGTCTAAAGTATTTGTTAGTCCTTAGACCCAAATGTATCACTTTTTAAATGTCGACCTGTTCCCACGTTATGCCCCAATCTCTCTGTGTGTGTGTGTGTGTGTGTGTGTGTGTGTGTGTGTGTGTGTGTGTGTGTGTGTGTGTATTTGCAGCCTCCTCAACGCAGACCTCTAAACTTCGCTGAGGCTCACGAGAATGATGAGGAGAAACAGTTTCGGAGAGTTTTCCAACAGCTGGCTGGAGATGTGAGTCCATAATATTGCTTATGTATGTATTATATTCCTGAATGCTCTCCTGTCTGCGTGCTCTGCATTCTTTGTTTTTAGTTGGAGTTTTTCCTCTAAATCTGTGGTACCCACCCATTTCCTCTCTATCCTCCCAACACACATACGCCTCCATAATGAGTTGGAAAGTAACAGGAACAGGGAGACACAGATATTAACCTCACTCAGATTTCACGTTCTGCTGAAAACTGAAATTTAACCGATGACTTCCGAAACACTGTACAGTATATTGTTGTTAATTTCGTCAAGTTTTCCGAAATTTGTGTGAATTGTCATAATAATGCTGCGTTTCACACAACTCATCACATTTCCAGAGCTCCTTCCAGGTGTTCTACTTCAGTCAAATGCATGTAACTGATCCCCCCCGACTGAAGAAGCAAAAGCTGTATATAAGAAATGGACATACTGTAGTCACCAATACATCCACATTTGTTTATTGACAACGTTTTTCAAACTTCGATATGGAAGTTATTTTGTCGATATTTTAAAGACGTTACATTACATGTCATTTATAGCTGATGCTTTTATCCAAAGTGACTTACGAACACTTCAAACCATTGGCATGCCTATGGGAGCATTCTGGGGTTAAGTATCTAGTATCTAGCCCAAGTCCACTTTGGCGTGTTGGCTGCAGGGTTAGGGTTAGGGCTGGGGATCGAACCACTAGTCTCAGGTCCCGTCCACACGGAGACGAAACGGATTTCGAACCGAGGGTCGATTTCAAAAAAGTCTTCCGTCCAGACGGAATCGGCTCAAAAAATGTGTCGGTCCAAACGAAACCGCTGGAGACGCTGTAGTACATATGCCGGGCCTGTAAGTGGCGCTGTACTTCCTCCACAAAATACACCAAAAGCAGCGAATAAGACCCCCCCGAGCATGGGCATAACGCATAAACAAACAGCTGTAGATTTTGCACTAAAATCTG